CTCCATCTACTGTGGAGTGTGTGGCAGCGTCTTTCCGGACGCTGGCGCTTAATTCACCCGGTTTGAAGTCGGGCTAACTCGGAAAGTATTGGACACCATCTCGTAGTGCTTCTCCAAGCAAGCGGCATGATGGGAGTAATCGAGACCCCAGGTGAGGGTGTCGATTTGGCACCGTTTCAGGTTTGTCTAAGACTATCCTTATACCTTTTCACAATTGCCCATGGCGTTACGTTTACTATCTGTTAGGTGATCGTAAAGTAGCTGCTTTGGCAGTTCACCGTCGTCCATGCGGGTAATACGGCCAGTCCAACGTAGTTGTTCGCGGATAATGGTAGCCTCGATGTCTTACAGTTGGTGTCAGCAAGAATACCGCATTTGTTCTTGTCTTCCCAGCAAACTCAGAGAATGGAACGTAGACGTTCACGTTGGTGAAAGCCAAGGCGTTTTGAGGGTGCCCTGAATGTGACCCATGACCTACTTCTGCTATATAGTAGGGTGTGCAGTGATCACTGCTCGATATACGTGCAGCTTTGTGGATAATTTCAGCCCCTACAGCCGAAGACACGGTTTCTGGAGTCCGCCCAAGGCTTGAGATGCACATCTGATCCGATGATGAATCTCTTCATCGATTTTTGCGGTGGTGGGATATGTGGGAGCCGAGATACCGAAAGTGGTCAACATTAGAGAGCGAAGTACCATTAAGCTGGATGGGATGCCAGAGGTGTGTGTGAATCAGCAGGTTGGAGAAAGAATCTGAGTCTTACGTACATTCGTTCTCTAAGGCTGAAGTGCATACGTGTTCGTATAGGTGTTCAGGATCTTCAGGTCGTGTCTAGTGTGAACAACAAGGGTGAGGTCATGTTCCGTCTGGGTCATGAAGCTGCCGACACCGTTGTTCTTGCCTGGATTCTTCGGTAGGATAAAGTCCCCCCCACCCGGTGCACTCGATGTTCACCCCGCTGTCTAAATTGCACTGGTGCTGAGTAAGGAAGGCAGCCAAGAAGATGGAAAAGAGAGTTGGTGCCAGTCCTCACCCTTATTAACCCTGTTTGATGGGGAAGAACTTCTGACTGGGTGCCGTTGTGCAGGGCACTGCCGTCTGCGTGCCATCGTGGAGTTCCCTCACAATGGCGATGAATTTTGGTGGGCAGCCAAAAACGGCTGAGGATCCGCCAGGAGGGCTGTTGCTCTGCATTTTTCCCTGAATCTGGCGGGCAGCAAAGAGCATGTCATTTGGTTCCAGGTGATGGTCTTAAACCGTTACTGAGATTCTGGGAGGAAGCTCCTCACCCCAGGAAGAAGTCTGTTTAGGATGACTTGGGCAATAATCTTTGCCAGCTAGGAAGAGCAGCGAGATCCCACGCTAGTTGCCACAGTTCGACTGGTCCTCCTTGCCCTTATAAATATTGACAATGGAGGCATCTTTAAGAGCTAGGGATTTCCTCCTTTCCCATATATTCTCCAGGAGAGAGGGAGATTGCCAGTGCTTTTATAGTACCGCTTTAAACACCTCGGCTCGGATTCCACTCAGGCCCTGCGGCTTTGTTATTTTTCTCACATCTGTTTGATGGTGGTAGCTACCTCATCCAGATAGCTGAGGTGTGGGTCAGCTCGGATGCTGAGGACCCTGCTGGGTTGTCAGGACATCTAAATCGATTGAGCAATGAATGGTAGTGTTTTTCCAGCGCTTTTCGAAGGAGGCCTTCACGTCTTTAATTATAAGGTTTCCGTCAGATGAGCGAAGGGGCTGAACCACGAGTGACTTGCCCATAAATGTTTTAGTAGCAATGAAAAATTCTGCTCCATCTTGCGCTGATTCACAAGTTTTGTGGTTCATAAGCGCTTTATTCTTAACCCAGTCGTTTTTTAGATTGCGGAAGTTATTAGCTGCTGGCTGCCACTTTCTTTTGGCGCTGAAGGTATTAGCTGATCCGAGACTGAGGTGAAGTTGTTCTGCCAGTTAGTAAAAAGCAGCACGTTTATCATCGATGAAAGCACTTTGATTGCTCGGTCATTTTCATCAAACCAGTCCTGATGTATTTTTGGTCTGCCGAGGTCTCTGCAGGTCTTTGTCATAACAGTATTAAGAGTCTCCCATTCGGCATTGGATTCACTTTGTTTGCTGTTGGGTTGTTTATAAGCCCATGTTCGAGCTGCCTTCGAAAGCATGTGCTACCGCTGGATCTTCCAGATGCTTATTAAAACCCTGGAGGCTTGCTGCCTTCGCCGTTTTGGGGGCAACGAAGTGAGAGCTTGATCTGACAAGTCGATAATCAGTGTCACAGGGGTCTGAGCCACGCATGGCACGGGTGATGAGACATCTCGGCGATCTCTTCTGACAATGATGTAGTCAATGAGATGCTAGTGTTTGGATCGTGGGTGTTGCCACGATTCCTGAACTTGTCGGCCCGTCAAACAAGGTATTGCGATAGTGGAGTAGGCCAGTATTGGGATTACACTTGCCTAGTCCATTTATCCCTACTGTTCCCCGCCAAATGTAAGCATCTCACCAACTCTGGCATTGAAGTCGCCATGGATACACTTGACCTTGTCTCTGAGGATAGAGGTGTTGTAAGACTCTGTCAAGGTCGACATAAAAGGTCTCCCTTTGATGTCATCCCTTCGCATCCACAGGTTGGGGCGTATGCACCTGATGAAGAAGCATGACGTGAGTGATTCAGTGGGATTTTGAAGCGTCATGGGCGCCCGTTAATCCCAATAGGCATTTCAGTTAGCCTGTGTAGGATGCATTGGCGGATGGCAAAGCATAACCCATAAATGCGGTTTCTTCTGCAGCAGGCTTACCCTTCCAGAAGAAGGTATAGCCAGACCCCCGTTCCTTGTGAGTTGGGCTCCTCATCTAGGAGCCGGGACCTGATGGCTGCCATGTCGATTTTTATTCTAGCCTTCCGTTTTTGCCACAAGGGCAGTTCTATCAGGACGCATTTGTGCTAGTAATGTCCAGAAGGGTCCGACATTCCATGCAGCGATTCATAAGAGGTTAGGGCGGTTTGTTTTTGCTTGATCTGTGATTGTGATTGTGTGTCTTCGACCGCATAAAGATGATCTTACTCGGTGCGGTTATTGGGTGCGGTTGCCCAGTCAGGTTGTTTAGGCAGGCCGTGTTTAGGGCACCTTTTCTAGCCCTCCCCATGTGGGTGAGCAGAGTGGCTCCTCGTAAGGGCTGCTCAGTCACACAGACAAGACCGGATTGCACTGCTGCCTAGATCCCAGTGCATAAACGAACATCTTATCGGTGCCGCCCATGTGCAGAGTTGTGACTAGAGACTCCCAGCAGTCATCTCTGCCTGTCTCCCGTCGCCACTCGTCCGTCGCCAAAGGACTTTTGGGGTTTTGATGATGATGAGAGGTATGGTGAGCTGCGTGATGCCTGTGCGTGAGTTGATTTATGTTGTGAGGCAGGAGCACAGGCTGCAACCACACATCTTAGCTCTTCCTTTTCTTGATCCAGTGGTGCAAATGTTGCAATGACTGGGAAGAGGGAGAGTTGCAATGGACTGCCGGTATCCCAGTTTGTTGAGTTTTGCCTTGGTAGCTTGTCCTTCAGGCATTGCCCTGTCTGCCGTGGTAGTCTTTGGGTTCCATGGTGATCACCTCTTCCGCCTACACCGCCGTTGGGGTTCTTGTTGGAGCTCTGTAAGCAGATTTTTCGATTGGGGTTTACTCCCGTAGCCTTATGCCTGCAAAGGTTAATCTGCGGGCAGCAGGGCGGTGGTTGGTAGGCGACAGGACATGTCCACATGCCAGTGAGCCTATGCGCCATCCCTCTGGGGCCCACTGCTACTCCAAGATCTCCAAGATCCTCTGCTTATCTGGCCTGGGCCCACGAGGCACCCAGTTACCGTGTGTTGCCAAGAGGAGGCACAGAAGGAGTCTTGATGGTGAGGGCTGTGTATTGGCAGGGGAAGACTTATGTAAGTTGCTTCCCTGTTCGCCACGAGGGCTAGCCAGCGGCGTGGCTGAAAGGAGAGGGAGCAAGCAGTGCTTGCACCGCACATAATGCTGCCACACTAGACACATTTCAACTACCCTGTAATGTGTGTACACACACACACATATTTATTTATTTAGTGTATTAGAATTGCTGATTTGGTCATCTAACACCACTTCGAAACTGTTTATTTTTACAATATTACAACAGCTGTCTTACAGTAGATGTGTTACAACGGGTATGTTACAACAAATGTCTTACAACCAGTGGCGTGTCGTGAAAAAAAGGCTCGGGTAAGCAAATGACAGTTAGTGACGTTATACTACTATCCAAATACTGTGAGTTTAGTAGTCAACGAAACTGTGAAACAGAACAAAATGGTTAGATATAATTAAAATTTATTTTTTGTTCGTCTTTAACTTTTATTTATGACACCCATGAGGCATTTGGATAAGGTTTTTGCTAGTCAATTAAGGAACCTCCAGTATATTATAACTTAATTCAGATTTCTTCCCAAAGAAATAAATCATTTTGCACTACGGCGATGGTAAAATGAAATGTGTAAATTATTCAAAATAAATTGATTTATTTTAATATTGCTTGAGAATTTACAGATATGAATTTATAATTGATCTGTAAGCTGCTGTGGGCATGTAGGTAGGGGATACTTGTGATTTTCTGTTTAAAGCTTTATGAAAAGGAATTCTACTCAGTGATGATAATAAATATTATTGAGGAAATTCTGTATCAAATGCTTTATTGGCGTATTAAATTTATAAGAATCCTATTTACATGGATTTGGCAAAATTTGGTTATAATTTAATTAATAGTGTTCATATTACGTCTGGCATATATCAATTTTACCCTGCAAAAGGGAGAAGATCCCATGGCAAATCGGAGGTTGCGTTTTCGAAGGACAGATCTTCAAACTGTAAACGCTCCTATCTTGCAAATTTCAAAAGGGTAGTACAATGTGTTGCAACAGATGTTGAACAACATACTGTATGTGTTAGTCATATGTAGAGACTGGAAACCTTCACCCACTAACCTCCTTCATCATGTCCTTCAGCAGCGTTGTTGTGGACGTTATTATCTCATCATCAGACTGTTCAGGTCTCTCTGAAATGTTCAGTGTGTTAACAAAAAACTCTCATTATCTCATTTGCCTTGAACCCTCGTTAATGAGCTGTGAACATAGACACAATCGAAGGTGACTGTAATATATAGAGATCCGTTTAGAAGATAATTTACTTCATCTCTAACATTCATGATGTTAACTCGGTCCAAAAAGGTTTTTTTTGCTATTTTGTGTGAGACAATATGATACAACAAACGAAGGATTTTGACAACCCTACAAAATTTTATATCAGCTGTTGATTGTTTAAGTTAAGAGCTATAAGTGAAGCTATTAGGCACTCGAAACTTTATTGCAAAAATGCCAAAATGGTGTCATTAAATGTGTGACAGAATCTGAAGATGATTGTTAAGTTTGCTGGTTTTGAATTGATGTTTCGTTGTAGAATTTTGATTTAAAAATTATTCTTATGAAGACAAAAAAAAAGACCAATATGCGTTAAATAATGACCAAATATACTGATTATTTACTGATATCAAATAGTGATTACCAAAACTTGTATAAGACTGTTTGATAGAAGGAATGAAATTACCAAAATAGGGAATAAATAAATTGGGTTTTATTAAAGGCATAACGGGTGAAATGAAACTATCAGTAGTGGTGGGGGCAGGTGAAAGAAGCCTTGTAATTGGGGAAGGGAGATTGTAAATCATGGTGTTGAGAAATAAATTGTTTTATTAATATCAGTTTAATACAAAGGACAGTGTCAAGACACGGTACTGAAGCACTGTAGTTTGCTTTTTCATCAGTGCAGGTCATCTTCTGTAGTGTAGAGGGTAAAATATGTTAGGGAGGTGATGGAGGTAGTGTGTCAGGGTAGGAAAAAGGGTAATAAAAAGGAGAATTAATGGAATGTAACTTATGTATAATTGATGGTAAATCTGTAGTTCTCAGTAGCTGAAAATATAATCTATAGGAAAGTAATCTACTGGCTCCAAAAGGTATCTTTACGATTTTCTGTGAGACAATATGACGCAACAGATAAAGGATTTTGACAACCCCTCCATAAATATGCTTTTTGGAGCGTGTAAATAATTCGATAGTAGGCGTATTATAGGTATGGTTGAGATGTGTGTGGGGTGAAAATAGTGTGCTAATGACAAACAGTTGTTGAAGAATAACGAGAGATTTATCTGACGATTGTTATTAAGTGTACGAGTATTACGAGTGTATACTAGGAACAGTGAGCTGGTGAAAGGCAGATATAATGAGAACCTGGAAGGTAAAAACAGCGTCGTAGTTGTTGGATACATGTTTGTTTATATTCATAGCTCGGTTAAGACGACCCCGTAATGATAATATCACTACCTGGAATTGTTGTACCTGGAATTAGAAAGCACAAGTACGGGTGCAGATTTAGATCTGCACCCGTACTTGAATTTTTAATTAAAGCATTGCCTTCTGTTGAAACATGTGGTTTTATATTCTACACACTATAGTGAGGATTGGAGTGCTTGCCTCGAGAGCGCAGCTGTCCGTATTGATAAGTCTGGCTTTAAGTAGTAGTATCAATAAGCTTGGATAGAAAAAAATATGAATTTTATACGAAATGTTGATATTTTTATTCCCCAGAATATTTAGAACCAGTTGGGGAACCTTGGGTTTCCCGGGTGACCGCTGCTTAGCCAATACCCTCCCCCCCTAATTTAGACATTCGTGAGAATTTTGAGGACATTCGCATAAGCCGTCCAAATTCCAGTTCTTCGCCTTAAAAATCGTACATAGCAAAGAAACAGAACATTAGATGTATTTTCAATCAGAAGGATCCACCATTGGGGGATCGGGAGTCGACCACTTGGGACCCAAACCCAACCAAACCAAACCTAAACCTGGCATTTAATGCCATTATGCAAAAAGGCCTAACATCTGTTTTGCCTTTTTGCATAATGGCCAACCCCGCAAAAAAAAAACGCAATCTATATAAAGATTCTGTCAACAAAACGTGACTGTATTATATCTTCGATTTCTATTTCTCTATTTTCCCAAATGTTTAACATTATTTACCTGTTTTTAATGACGTTTGGGTTATAATATGATTTTTTTTATCATATTGTAGGAACTGTCAATCATTGGGTTGAAAGGTGACTTCAGTGTGTGACACTGTAAGTGTTGGTACGAAACGGGTGTTCCTACGTGTGGCAGGTCGGTAGATGGTGTTGACATCTAGGGAAATGTTATCATACTGTATGGACCTCCAACAGTACTGTATCCTCCTCCTGGCCAACACTCCAAAATTTCACCTTCGGGACACTTCTAGGGTGTGTGCACATCTACAATACAGTACAAACCAAATTTCAGTTCGTTCTTCAAAACTGTTCCCTTGCAAAGCAAGCAGGAGAAGAATAACATAAGGTACTATATGTTTAATGATTATGGGTTCTAAAAATTTTGCTAACTTACGCATAACCAGAGATGATTTTTTTTTAATTTCCGATTATGGATGACATGTTTATGAACATTAAGTCCTTACTTGTTAAAGAACAGTGAAACAGTAAAACATCAACAATATCACTATCAAACACACTCACTCTCACAGAAACACTCTCAAAGACACACACTCAAAGACACTCACTCTCACAGAAACACCTTCAAAAACACTCACTCTCACAGCCACTCACCCTCAAACACACTCACTCTCACAGACACTCACCCTCAAAGACACTCACTCTCACAGAAACACTCTCAAAGACACACACTCAAAGAACACTCACACTCACAGACACTCACCCTCACAAACACTCACTTTCACAGACAATCACCCTCACAGACAGTCACTCTCAGACATTCTCCCTCACAGACACTCACCCTCACAGACACTCACTTTCACAGACACTCACTTTCACAGACACTCACCCACACAGCTACTCACCTTCACAGACACTCACCCTCACAGACACTCACTCTCAGACACTCTCCCTCACAGATACTCACCCTCACAGACACTCACCCACACAGCTACTCACCCTCACAGAAACTCACCCTCACAGACACTCACCCACACAGCCACCCCTCACAGACACTCACCCCTCGACAACACCCCAGACATTATCCCTCACAGACACCACCCTCACAGACACTCACCCACACAGCTACTCACCCTCACAGATACTCACCTGCACAGATATTCACCACACAGACACTCACTCACAGACCTCACACCCCAGCCATCACCATGACACTCACCACAGATATTCACCATGACATTCACCCTCACAGACATTCACCTCAGACACCTCACAGACACTCACCCCACAGACATTCACCCTCACAGACACCACCTCAGACACTCTCCCACACACCACCTCACAGATACTCACACCTCACAGACACTCACCCCACAGACAAATCCATCACAGACACCACCCCACAGACACTCACCTTCACAGACACTCACCCTCACAGCTACTCCACCCTCACAGCCACCACCCCACACACACTCACTTCAGACATTCTCCTCACAGACACTCACCCTCACAGACACTCGCCCCAACAGACACTCACCCCACAGACACCCACTTTCACAGACCCCACCCCACACAGCTATTCACCTCACAGACACTCCACTCACAGACACTCACCCAAACAGCCACCACCCTCACAGACACACTCACCTCAGACTCTCTCACAGATTCTTCACCCACAGACAATCACCCCAGAAATTCACCTCACAGACACTCACCCACAGACAACTCCATCACAGACACTCACCTCACAGACACTCACACCTGTCACCTCAGACACTCCACAGACACACACCCCACAGACACTCACCCTCACAGATACTCACCCTCACAGACACTCACCTTCACAGACACTCCAACCCTCACAGACAATCTCCCCACAGACACTCACCCACACAGCCACTCACCCCACAGACACCACCTCACAGACACTCACCCACACGGCTACTCACCACAGACACTCAACTCACTGCCTCAGACACTCTGTCACAGACACTTACTCCTCACGGATACTCACCTCACAGACACTCACCAGACACTCACCACCCTCACAGATACTCACCCTCACAGATACTCACCCTCACAGACACTCACCCCACAGACAACCCATCACAGACACTCATCTTCACACACTCATCCTCACAGACAGTCATCAGACACTCCACCACAGACTCCCTCCCACACACTCTCTCAGACTCCACTCACAGACACCCACTCCAGACACACTCCCTCACTGACAATCACCCTCACAGACTCTCCATCACAGTCCCACCTCACTGACACCTACTCACAGACACTCACTCACAGACAAACACCCCTCAGAGACAATCACCCACACAGACACTCACCCTCACAGATACTCACTCGCACAGATATTCGCCCTCTACAGTCACCACCCTCACAGACACTCACCCTCACAGTCACCACCACAGACACACTCCTCACAGACACTCACCCCACACACACTTCACCCTGACAGACACTGTCCTCACAGATACTCACTTGCATAGATACTCACCGACCAGATACTCACCCCTCACACACTCCTCACAGACACTCACCACAGACACTCACCTCACAGACACTCACTGCACAGATACTCACCCTCACAGACACACTCCTTAACAGACACTCACCCTCACAGACACTCACCCTCTCAAACACTCATCCTCACAGACTCTAACCTCACAGACACTCACTCTACAGACACACACCGTCACAGACATCACCTCACAGACACTCCACAGACACTCACTCCCACAGACACTCACCTCACAAACACTCACCTCACAAACACTCATCCCTCAGATTCTAACCTCACAGACACTCATCCTCACCTGACACCACCCTCACAGACACTCACCTCACAGACACTCACCCTCACGACACTCATCTCACAGACACTCACCTCAGGCATTCTCACAGACACTCATCCTGACAGACACTCACCCTAGCAGGTAAACACCTCACGGACTCTCACCGCACTCACAGACACTCACCCCACGCACCTCTACAGACACTCAGACTCACCTGCTCTCAGACACTCTTCCGTCCAGAGCACTCACCGTCACAGACACTTACCCCTGATACTCACCCTCACAGACACTCACCCCACAGACAAACCCATCACAGACACTCATCTTCCACTCATGCTCACAGACAGTCATCAGACACTCCCCCTCACAGACTCTCCTCCCTCACAGTTATTCACTCTCACAGACACTCTTCACAGACACCACCACTGACACACTCCCTCACTGGCACTCACCCCTCACAGACTCTCTCCCCCACAGTCACTCCTGCACAGACACTCTCCACAGACACTCACCTCACAGACTAACACCCTCACAGACACTCACCTCACAGACACTACCCTCACAGATACTCACCCTTACAGCTATTCACCTCACAGACACTCACCCTCACAGACA